TGTGAGGAATGTAATTACTCATCCCCAAATAAATTACCGTTGCACCTTTTATGACATTGCAGTAGATCAAGTCTCCAAGACTGTTCTACTTATTTAGAGAGTGAGAAAAAAAAATAACCCACAATTTCTAGTTCATCCTGGATCCTGGCTCAAAAGTTTTTAGATGGCTATCTTTAAATATTTTTATGCCAACGGATACAACTACTTCGGTCTCTCCGCTATGCAAATTCATTCAAATAAAATGTAAATTGTGTGATAATTGGGTGCCAAAAAGTCCCATTTTTCTCACAGATAGAACTGATACAGTTTCTTCCAAGTAACGCTTATGCATATTCCAGAGAAGCTCCAAATGGCCTCGAATATTGCTGTTAACCCCTTGACTGCTTCAACAAAAATGAAAATGAAGCCTACTGAAATCTGTCCAGGAAGGGCCTTCTGGGGTCTGCTGCCTGCCTGCCTGACCGGTTGACAGGATAGGTTCCATTCAAGTCCTCTGTGGTACCGTGAAGTGGCCGTTCTTGTCAGCGGAACAACATGAGACGCAGGCCAACTTGTTTAATGGGAGGACTTCACTTCCTTTCAGAATACCAGCTCTCAGCATGAGAGCCAGAAATTCTGACGCGGTTAGGGAAAAGAGTAAGCACTAATTGTGTGCTCTTTCCAACCTGGGAGGCCCTGTGGAAACGGGGTGACCCACCTCTGCCCTTGCAGCCAGCAGACCTGAGGGAGTGACTCCACACTTCCCCAGGCTCTGGAGGCAGAAGCAGGAGGTGCTTCATACCAGCTAAGATGGCTTAAGTGAGAATGTCCGCAGGCTCATCTGTGTGAAGACTTGGTTTCCAGCTGCTGGGGCTGTGTGGAAAGGATGAAGGATGTGGCATTGCTGGAGGACATGTGTCACTGTTGGAGGGCTCTGAGATTTCAAATTCGTGCCATTCCCTAGGCCCCTCTCTCCCTGACGGGCACTTGGGGTCACCATGTGAGCTCCCAGCTGTTCCTACTATCCTGTTCTTGCTCCCCAGTCAGGGCACTGACCCTCTCCAACTGTAAGCCCCCGGATTAGACACATCCTTTTATATGTTGCCTGGGTCATGGTGTTTCATCATAACAATGAAAATGAAACAGGCACAGGCCCTGAGTGCAACTGCTTGGGAATCTGATTTTTGATTTATTTTTCTTTTTTTCCTTTGACTATAATAATAATAATTGCCCAATAATCTTTGGAATGAGATTGCAAGAGGCATCTTGCAGAATGATGCCTTTTAGTTTGAAAAGATAAATCTATGCCAAGAGAAAAGAAAAAAAAAAGAACCTCTGTTTAGAATATGTAATTTTTTTTCATTTAAATTTGTCAAAAGTGATTTAAGCTACAGTTGATGCAGAAGTATATCTGGGTGTGACGAACAGGGAGGATTTAAAATCCTCATCTGCTGTTTAAGTGCCGCGCAAGACCAGGCTGGAGAAGCCCACAGAAACGGCTGGCCTGAACAAGGGGAGCTCATGGACCCCAGTGTGACAGCTGGGAAACCAGCAGAGGATTGACCCAGATTCCCTGAATGTGGGTGTCAGTTAGGAGGCCTGGGCAGTCTATGGGATCTCTGGTAGTGGGTCAGTATTTAATCCCAAGTATACAAATGGATTTTGGGAGCCCATTCCACATAGAAGAATACTCTCTCAGCCTAGACACATGGGGGAGGTCCTAGGCTGATGGGAGATGTCATTCTGTAAATATGTTTCTCATTTGGTTAATGAATAAAGCCCTGTTGACCAATAGGAAAGCAAGATAGGCGGGACTAGGAGACAAGGAGGATTCTGGGAGATGTAGTAGAGAGGAGTCAAGATGTAGGCCGTGAAAGAAGTAAGTGGTATGGACTACAACCCCCCCTAAGACCACGTGGAAACACTTAGATTGATAGAAATGAGTTAATAGCTAAGGCAGAGTAAGCCAATAAGAAACTCCAGCCATTGGCCAACAGCTTTATAACGAATAGAGTCTCTGGATGTTATTTTGGGACTGAAGCGGCTCTGGGACCAGGCTGTCGGGAAAATGCTGGTAACACTAGGCCCTACTCCAAATGATATGACAGACTTTGAAGAAAGCCTCACCCTCCCTGGGGAGCAGGTAGGGGATGGGATGGGGGTTGGGAGGAGGGGAGGGTGAGGGAACTGGGATTGACATGTAAAACAAGCTTGTTGCAAATTTAAATAAAAAAATTATCAAAAAAAATCCTCATTTTCTACTTTCCATCGTTTTGACTATAGGAACAAAGTTTGGGGTAATCTCTTTGGGTGGGAGATGGAATAATATTTTTAACAGGCTTGTGCATGGGTACATGTGGATGTGGGCATGTATCTGAATAGATATTATCATAGACAAGAAGTGAAGAATGGTATTTATAAACAAAGAACACAAACTCCAGGACTAGACACAATGTAACAAATCGTATTCAGTTAACTGCAAGGCAATTTAAACATAGTCTCAAGTTACAAGGGCAGTAAATTGACTGAAAGAGTAAAGCAGAGTTGAGATATTTAGTGTGGACTCAATCTTCCCAGGTCACCTGAGGTCCCCACTCTCCAATGAGTGCCTTCATACACAACCCCACCAGGCAACATGGCCTCATTTCCCAACATAAAATACTCTTAAGTAGAACCAAGGTTATAGGCTTTCTGTTCATAATGCTTGTAATTTTATTTATATTATGCATTTACTCAATGCTTTATAAACCCTTAGTATGTAAATGTGAAACAATCTAATCTTTAAGTTTTTATCTCTTCTAAAATTAAAAATAAAGTAATTACAGATGTTCATTCTTGTCATTAGTCATTACTGGATCCCCTGGAATTGGGAAGCTTTTGCACACCTTGCCTTTACTTAGAGAAGCCCCTCTGTGTTTAACCAGTTCTCCAACTAGACAAGAACAGTTACCCAACTGAACAACACCAGAACCCCTTTGAAGCCCCAAGTAGTTGTGGATTTGGAAGGTGGGGCCGTCACTAATGCCTTCAGATTCACTAACAATGCCCAGTTGTTTGCACTGCCATATGCCTGCAGTGGGCCTTTTCCCTCTCCGCGTCTTACTCATCTTTATTCTATGTTCTAGTCTGTGCAATCCAACCTTGAAAGATGTGTCTAGAACACATCAAACATACTCACCTTAACAACACAGATAAGACAGCAAGCGGTCCCTGTTTCTGACATACCGGGTTAGTAAAGGGTTTAGAGAAAATTACGGAAAAGGGAGTCCATGCCCACTGAGACTTCTTCAGAATCCATCCAGGGAAGCTGAGCCAGTGACACCACAGCACACAGTGAAGGCAGCAAGGCAGCTGGGAGGAATGGAGAGCATGGGCATGGGCGATACTGCTGGACAGGGACTGAAAACGTGTTCCGGGAGCCCCAGCTCCACGGGAGGGGAGGGCAACTTCAGAGCGCTTTGCAGGCAGCACTAGCTGCAACATTATGACTTAGTCACACCGGAAGATGATGACTCGGGTTGTAAATGAAAGACTAAGAAAAGCCTCTCGCTTACAAAATTCCACAAAAGAGGACAGAATACTATGTGAGATTCCTTTGGGTATGCCCAATGGAACTCTGTCTTACACATACGTTGTTGGGGACGACAGCCATAGGTGACCACTAAGCACTTGAAACATGGAGATGATGTTTTCTTATTGTTTAATCTTAATCAATATTAACTGAAACAGACTCGTGGGGCTGGTGAACATCGGATTGGAATTTGCAGCTCAGAGTACACACACACACACACACACACACACACACACACACACACTGCACACAAAGTATATACGTAGGCACACTTGCACACTCACCTGCACAGCACACATACAAACACACAGCCTAATGAAGACTGTAGCCACATCTCCTGACAATGTCTGGAAAGCGGCTCCAACGCCAACATTCCTAGCTCTACAGCAGCCTCCTCCCGTGGACACCCTCTGTTTGACCTTTACTGCCCTCCTCTTGTCCCCACAGGACACTGAGACATTTCAATAGACCCCCGGCTCTGCTCAAGTCCCCAAGCCCCTGCTGATTCCACAGGCATCCAAGGCATGTGCTAGCACTTGATTCCTTTCTTTCCAATGGGCCTTCCACACATCTACACACATAGCATTTACATACAGGTAGTCACACGACATGCTCACCGCTGCACCTCCATTAATTGCCTTAGGACTACGTTGGGCGCCGCCTTCTCAGATCGCCATTCCCTGACAAAGCAAGGGGTTCCCGTGACGCAACTACATTTTTGTCACGTGAGCAAATGTTTTCATGCTTCACGTGTTACATGGCGTATTCCTTTCTCGATGAATTTACTGCCGATGTTTGTATTAGGGAAATTTAACACTGGTTCTCTTCGGGTTTTAATTTGTGTTCTCTTGCTAGATCGTTAATACAAATGACTCATCTGTGCATAACTTCACAGACTACTGGGGGACAGAGACAATAGCAAAAATTTATGAGTTTATTTGCATGCATGTCGTTATAAGCACCACACACTCCGCATTCTTTTAAATCCCTAAAACCTTGAAAATAATCTCACTCTCATTTCATGTTCTTTAACGGAATCAGCTATCCTCCGAGTGAATAAAAAGAAGGGGGGGGGGTGGGAAAGGGAACTTTAACTACATGGAAAACAGGACGGAGAAGCAAAGGGTTCCAGGGGTTTTCTACAAGAAAGACTGGGTAGGTGCAGAGGTGCCTCACACAAGAGTAGCAGGGTGAGCACATCTGAAAGAATGTGCTGTAGGGAAAGCCTTGCACAGCAGACAGCCGGAGACTTCAAGCAGAAGTCTGCTTAGAAATGCCTCTGAAGGCCATGGCCATAAAAGGTCAGAAGAGGACAGATAGAAGGACTCGTCAAGGACGGGTCTCAGTAGAGGAGACGGGACAGTGACGAAGCATCAGGCCTGAGACTTATTTTCGAGTCACATGTAGCTGCCAGTCTGCAAAATGCTCTCTAAGTAAGAAAAGTCTTTACCTGTGGCTATGGCCTATTCCTCGGCACCCAGGGGTAGGACATACAGCTTGACCTGGAAGGATGTTCACATCACTTGCCCCTTCAGGAGGTAAAAGAACATAGCTTGAAAACTCTTGTTGAAGAAGAACTGGAAAGTCTAAAATATGTAAATGATGTAAGCTGAGACTTTACCAGTTAAAACACCGAGTACGGTGACGATTTAATAAAAATGACATGACTGATCCTGCGATGGCTGTAATAGATACCACCACAGCCCGGCTAGCATCATAGAGGGGGAAATGAATAGGAATTGCAGAACTTAAAAACTGAAAGTCACATATGAGAATTTTCACTCTTTTTTCCCCCTTAGAGATGAGTAATGGCAAAGGCTGCACTCCACAACTTGATGGAGTTCCATAAACGTCCTCAACCAAGCCAGTGAGGGAGGGTGCAGAGCCCAGCACCTTCTCCCTAGCCAAGCCCCTGACTGTTGCTGTGAAGAGCAGGCAAGGGAAAAGCAACTTGATGCTTCACCTCCTTCCCTTCCCTCCTTTAGATAACACTATGCCTTACTGTACTCAACTCGCCAAGCCTGAGGTGACTTAACGATAACTCCCAAATGAGTCTGCCTCTAAAGATGAACAGGGCTAAATCCCCAAGTTCATCTTTGTAATTGTGCTCACAAGTGTCGACCTCCACCTGAACACACACACACACACACACACACACACACACACACACACACACAGAGCTGCTCATGGAATGCTCCATCCTACGCCCTCATACTAACCTAGGAGGTATCTCTCTTCAACCCTTTGCTTTCCTTCCTGTCCCCAGCTTGCCCGGTTCTACTTCAGGCCCAACAAGCTTCCAGCTTCCCCTTGTCTTGTCTGGGTCAGCACTGCCTCTCCAGAAGGTTCCCTGGGAACCCATGGGAGAGAAGTCAGCCCTGCTTGTCCTCCCAATGCCAATCCAAACCCTCCTGCGTCTCATCTTCCCAGACACAGTCACCAATCTGCCCCTGTTACCATGTCACTCAGGGAAGACTGACGTCCAAGTGACCGAGTTCCACTCTATTCTGTTTCAACAGCTGACCCAGGCAAGCTCAGAGGCCCCCAGGACTTCCTGTCCATCACTAACTTCCTCTCCAGCGTCTCCTTCCCTGAGCCACCTGGCCACGCAGAGTGGACCATGTTGGGTGTAAGGAGTAAGGTTTTTCCGCCCACCGCCGCCAGTCTTGTCCCACGGCCACGCCAGCCCCAAAAAACGCACAGAGACTCTGTATTTGATATTATGCTGTTGGCCAGTTACTTGTTTCTTACCGGCTAGCTCTGTCTTAATTATTAACCCATTTCTATGTATTTCCACGTGGTCTTACCAGGGAGAGGCGGCTGCTGGTTCTGCCTTCTCCAGACTCTCCATCTTGACTCCTACTTCCTCTTTCCTCCTTGTCTCCTAGTCCCGCCTATCTTGCTTTCCTATTGGCCAACAGTGCTTTATTCATTAACCAGTATGAGAAACATATTTACATAATAGCATCTCCCATCAGTTGGGTCTGTTTTGTCTCCACCCCCTCAGTGATAGAGCAGCCCAGCCGATGACAAAAGCATGTCCCTTTAGCCTGCCCGCTCAGGAGTCCCAACTGCCTCTGCTGCCTCCAGCAGCAGTGTATTTGCCAGCCCATCTATTTCCCTCCCTCAGTTCCCTCTCGCCATAACCCACTCCCTCATCTAATTCAGGATCTAGCTGCCATTCTTTGACATTCTACTGCAAATTATTGAAGTTCCTTGGTGCTCTGTCAATATGGGAAGGGAAAACTTGGGTCAACTCAGTCAGGCTGCTCCCCAAATATCTTATGTAACTACATTCTCTTGGCGGGGGCGGGGGGGGGGGCAATAGTCACACATAGTGCTGACTGTGCAAAATCCTCCACTCACCTCCAGGCTCTGGCTCTGCAGCTGAGCTTGCCTGCCGCCTGCCAACTGAGAAGACAGGGACCAGTGGACAGGAACTGTCCTCTCCTGCCTGTGTTCTCATGACTACCCCCCCCCCCATTCCACTGCAATGCAGTGAGCATTTGCTTCTCCTCAAAGCAAATTCCTCACCACTCTTGTGTGGACTCATTCTGCAGGATCTTTAGACTATCGCACCAAGTAACTAACCAATATTTAAATACGGTCCACTTTTGTGCATCATGTAAAGGAAAATAAAGAGAGAAATAATAGACCTTGTAGCTTTCCCTCCTCAGGGGCTATTCGCCTTCCCCTTCACAGACAGATGTATTAGAGTAATAACCTCTGTTCCTCTCCATATTTCACTATTCGACCCACATTAATCTATCCTCCTTGGTCATAGATATCCTCAACCCAGGAAACCCATTTCCATTACGAATTAAACAATTTGTTTGATGTCTATTTATTTTGTTAGATTAGAGGCTGTAATCCTGAATCTGTTTTGCCACTCTGAAAACAATATCTAGCCTGACACATAACAGGTCCTCGGTAAGTGATTATAAGTGAATTGGGGGTTAACGACCTAGAGTTCTTCCCGTGATGTGCTCATTGCTAGAAAAGAGGCTTACTGGGAACCAGAAATTCACAGCACATAGTGACTATACTGTATGTATGCTAGGTCCCAGCACCTGGTAATATTTGAACAAATATTATCACCACATACATTTTCATTCGGTTTACTATACAATAGAAAATATTGTTTTAGATGCTTCTTGACGTTAAAACAACTTGAAGGACAAATAGAGGAAAGCATGATTCTCCTCATCTATAGCTAGGCAAAGCCCTGAGGAACACGGGAAGTTCTTGCCTAGTTCTTGCCTCAAGGCCCCCAAGGTTCAACCCCCAGTCAAATGCTCCCAGAAAACAGCTGTGAAAAGCAAGCAAATAAAAACTAACTTTTGGACAAACCAGAGGGTATGACGCTCACAAATTATTAAGTCCTTCATTAAGGAATACGGTTCTACCACATTTAGTAAATAAAGGGATCTTTTAACTTGTAAGAGCAAATAGAGGGATATTCAAGAGAACAAACAACGGAATACACACAAGACTTCTTTCCATCCTGCCCCATCTCAGAGGTCAAAGCCAAGCAAACAGACAGCGTCTCCACCATCTCAGCAGCAGCTCAGTGGATAATGCACCATATACACGAAGTGCTACTTAAAACATTTTCTGGGATGTTTTAATGCCCTGGATTAAGTTATAACTTAGAGTGATATTTTTAATAGCTGCACAGACATTTTTCTTTCCAATCCCCGATGGTCACCGTATGTTTCTCCTTGTGGGGGCTTTGAGGAGAGGCTTGGCCTGAAAGATTGGGAGGAGGGGTTACCACGTTAAGCACATAGCTAAAGATAAAACAAACACAGAGCGAAGAATAATATGAAAGAAGAATGCACTGAACCTAGCAGCTTCTACACTGAGTTCTGAGTGAGGAAGGGTTGGTGGTCAACTTGGTGGAAATTTAGATGAGCGTCCTCTGTTGGGGGAAAATAACCTGTAAATTCTGTAACAATTTTCACCACGATAAAGGTACCTGTGATCAAGTTAGTGTGCCCCCCCCCATGAAACAATGTTTGCCAAGATTATCTTACTGGTAATTGGATACTTAGAAATAGAAGTCTCAAGAGAAAAAGTTTTCTCTGCTCTAAGTTATCTCTCCAGGGAGGTGGTCCCAGACCCTGACACCCTTCCTTTGAATCGCCTTCCTATGTTGCTTGGCAGCCTCCCTGGCTCCCAATGCTAGAGTGAGGCTCTCCATCCCTAACTTGTCACCATTGAAGTAGGAGGACAGAGACACAATTTTGACCCAGGTTATCGACAACCTTGGACCCACTACCAGAGGTCAAACGTAGAGTCCAAACAGCCCTCTCTGAGTGCGCGTCTGTGAACAGATGCCATGGGTCACGACGCTGAAAAATCATGAAGCTAAAGCAGCAAATCTGTTGTTTTTCTTCCTTTGTTAAAAGCAAGCAATTTGCCCTTTTACAAAAAGACAATCAGGTCTTTTACCATGTAAACATGACATGATGAGAGCAATCAAAGCAGAATCAAGAATCAAGAGATTGTACTGGATCCTAGGGATGGGAAAGGGACCTGCCCTTTCTTTCCAAATGCCTGTGTCTGAGTGATACAATAACCCACTGTGATATAATCCACTGAGATATAATCTACTGTAAAAACAGGCTGGGCTTTGCAACCAGAGACTTCGGCCATCCTTCCCCCACCCCAAAGCTGGTCTCAGCTTCCTCTCAGAAGGTCACTTGCTTGGGCATACAGAAAACCCAGGACAGAGCGACAATGTTAATGCACATGATGCAGACACATGCATAAAGGTCCAGACGGAGGTTGGCCAGCATCGGAGAATAAGGACCAGGCTGCAGCATCCGTACCCTTATGTCACCAGCAATGACTCAATGACTCGCTGCTGGAAACGCATGCACTTGACCTAATTCCTTTAGCAACTTTTTCTAAAAACACAGCATTAGTACTCAGTGGTAACACCCAGTACAGGATACGCAAACACTGATGTTTGGAGAGGTGGATGGATTTAAATGCCACTGACCATACAAGAGTGAGGATAATTTATCCCTTCTTGTTTTAAAAGTAAAGAGAATGGTTCGGGCTTTATTTGTTCACTTTACAAAAGCTCCTGCAATGTATTATTCCATTCCCCAGCATTCCACATTGTCAGTAGAGGTCACCACCAAACAGAAAGGCCTGGTCCTCTTGACGCTTAAATTCTGGACATGATGACAGACAGCGAGGGTGGCATGTAGGCACATAGGGAGAGAAGGGGGCCTTGGGGTTGGGGTTGTGTCTTAAGGCAGGGCAGCCGAGGTCCTGCAGAAATATGAGCCATGAGGCACCATAGAGTCCCTGAGCCACGGGGACAGCAAAGAGGGTGGCGAGGGGTGGTGTGCATAGACTCTTCCTTCCTGGGATGGACTGGAAAAAACTCCAAGTGCCAACTGAAGAATGAGCTGAGCTGAGCTCCACCCACTTCCTCTCCTGGACCAAACTTGCACAGGCTTTCGGTGACCTCTCCATCAGAGTGGATGCTGCCTGCCCAAGGGATGAGATGGGA